TATGTGACCTAAAAATGTAACCAGTACATACAGGTCTTCCCACACGAATTTCTTGTATCTTGATTTCTCCACAGTCGTGAAAAACGTATATTAAAATAAAAATTAAGACTGTGATTGGATACTCAATTTTTGTTTAAAAAATTACAGCAATCTTTTTCAGATTTAAAGAACATCGACTAAATTCTGCAAGAAAGGCACTATATTTCCTATCACTTATAAATTTAATAAAACTCATACTCTTTATTTATGATGAAAGAAGATCAAAAATAAAGATCAGAAGAAGAGATCTACCTTTACAAAAAATTTTGTTAAAGGAATAACAACATAATTGCAACATAGCTGACCCTCCTCTAATGAACAGCTATGGTCATTTTTTGAACTTTATGTAATTTATCCAACAATATAATGACCGTGAAAAGCTCTTATAAATATATATAAAAAGAACTTAAACCAGACAATTTAATCTTAGATGGCATGTATTTATTTTGGTCACCATATACTGTATTCCTTTTTTGTTTACATTGTTTGATTACGTAGTTATTTACTCCCATCAATATTGAAAATGGCAGATTACAAGGTTTATACTCCAGCAAGATAATAATTTTACAAAATTAAGAATGCATTTCACACATGACAAAGTAGAAAAGTTGTTAGAAATACAAAGACAACTTACAAAGATTCTGCCCTCAAGGGCTCACAGCAGTAGGAAAACAGGCAGGACATAAGGCGAAACAACAGTAGAAACCAAGTGCAAATATGCTTTAACATATGCCAACTGTTTCTGTTTGAAGGAGATGGGTGCCCTGAGGAAAAGAGTATAAGAATAGAGGGAAGTTAAGTTTAAAAGACAGATTTTATTCTGCAGGAAATGGAGAAGTAAACAAAGGTTTTTGAGCAAGGATGACATCTATGGTAGAAGTAGCAGGCTAGAGGAAAGACAAGAAACAGGAAAGCCTATTGGAATTAGAATGCTGGAGGCAGGGAAGTATTTGAAATATTAAAATGAGAATCAAAAAATCAGAAGATACAAAAAAGCCAGCATTTTCTTTTTTTCTCTCTCTTTTTTTTTTTTTTTTTTTCCGAGTTGGAGTCTCACTCTGTCACCCAGACTGGAGTGCAGTGGCCGCTCCCGGCCACCGCAGCCTTGACCTGCTTGGGCTCTGGCGACCCTTCCGCCTCAGCCTTCCATGTAGCTGGAACTACAGGCGCACACTACCACGCCTGGCTGATTTTTTGATTTATTGTAGAGATGAGCTCTCGCTGCCCAGGTGGGTCTTGAACCCGCGGGCTCAGGCAATCCACTCACCTCAGTCTCCCAAAGGCGCGGGATTATAGGCTGAGCCACCGAGCCCGGCTAAAAGCCAGCATTTTCAAAACATACTTTTATGCAACTTGTGGCTTCTAGTAAAGTAGCTGATAATACAAGGTAGATCAGTGAGAGAGAAGAACACAAACCATGTTGAAACACTAGGTTCATCTATTCAAGGTAATGGTTGACATGTAAGATCCTGATTCAATTCTAAGAAGATAGCTAAAGCTATGCAAAATCAGGAGTCCTGCAGTGCCAGAATTTCTCAACTAGGGAAGTCACAGGACAAGTTCAAAGGGAGTGAAGAAGATTAATAATGTAGCATCTCAAATAGATGGTTTGTGGTAGCAATAGAAAAATAACCACCAAACAGAAGGCCAGTCTCTCACCTCACTTTCACTCAAAGCTGTAATATCTAAACAAAGCTGGAAAAGGAGATAAGGGAATAGATTTGTGTTTGCCGGGAGGCGGGGAAGGAGTGGAAGGAAGGGTAGTGAGGCAGAATAAACGAAAACATAGCTGAGCTTTGGAATAAAATAATTTAGGAACAATTCGTTCATGATAATTTTAGTTTTATATAATCTAACCCCTTATGTCTTCAATATATAATAAAAAATTAGTAAGTACCAGTAGTATAATCTTACTAAAATACCACCTAAGCCTAATTTGATACAGCCCTTAAAAGGATAATAAATTAAAACATTCTCAAAGATATAACAGTAAAAGACATTTTCCCTGCAACAATTATATATATATATAAGAGAACTTTCATTGTTACTTATTTCATTAAAGTAAGATTCTCCATTCAGAGTAATTATCCTAATATTAAAGGCTGAAAACTAAGCCTAAAGGACTTAAACCACCCAAACTCTGACCTAATTTCCTTATGGCCAATGATTAGACTAGGTTCTCTCATTTAAAGGTCTAACTGATGACTCAGGATGGTGAAATACCTCTGATTTAAATCATGTAGACTCCAAACTAAAATCCTTACTAATAATGTACAAGTCTCATACCTGAATCTTTCAGCCCAGATACTTCAAAAGACAAAACATCTCTTAAGAAAAAAATGCAATAAAATATTTAATATACTGTCTTAAATGTACTTTAAAGATTTTATGCCTTAAATTAAAAAAAAAACTTTTTAACATAGAAAATAAAATAAGTAAAGAGGAAGAAGACCTGATATAAATGGATGTGACACTGGTTATAGGTTACCTAGAAACTGTTTTACATTTTTAGTTGATTCTGTTGCCATGTTTTAGATGGAATGATTTCACTGAGTTGCTTACACATATGCTTTAAATATCCAAAAAGGAACCAAAGGTCACAATTCACTGCTAAAGTCAAATTAGGGAAAAAAATGTTTTCAAACATTCCAAGAATTGAGATTTATGAAATAAGTAAGACAGCATTCTGTTTATAGGAGCGAGGGTGCTGGAACTCTGGGCAAAAGGGTAGAGTAGAGTGGGGGAAAGACAGATGAGGAGGAGTACTGGGCCAACAAGAAAGCCAGCACTGTAGCAGAATTTCCACAGAGGAAAGAGAGATAGGAGAAGCAAAAAACAGAAGCTAGGAAAGACAGCCAAAGAAATTCAGTTATCTAAGAATTTTTAAAAACCATTCTCAAACCTTTCTAATGTTACTGGTATGCAGAAACAAAAATTTCACCATTTCCTCTGAAAATCAGAACTCTTTTCTCATAACTCACTAGAGATGGTTGCAGAGATTTAACTTTTGGTCCTATATTACACGTTCAACTCTATTTACTATTAATTTAGAAAAATGGTTCCCAACTTCAGTTAAGTTTTGCTCCAGATGATGTCTGGCAATGTCCGGAGAATTTTCGAGGGTCAGAGGCTGGGGATACTAGCACCTGACTAGTAGAGACCAGTGATGTTGCTGAACATTCTACAATGCACAAGATAGCCTGCACAACAAAGAATTATCCAGCCCAAAATGCCAACTGTGCTAAGGTTAAGAAACCCTAATATCTTCTGAATATAAGCAAAAGTCTACTCCTGGGACCTGTATTCTAGTCCATCTCCCTCAAATAGTCATCTAATTAAAGGATAAACACCACCACCAGAGGATTTGTTTTTCAATTGCTTTAAACATGGTGGATGTTTGGCTCCAACTAAGTCACACAGAAATGCACTGAAATAATGTATCAGAGAAAAAGTGCAAAAACTGCAGGAAAAGAACTTTTTAATCCCCCTTTTATGTCTCAAGCACATTCAATTCACAAGATGAGTGGTGTCTACATGGCCACCTATCAGGTTGTGTCTCTTCTGGGCTCAGTACGCTAAAAATACAGACCTCATCAAAATGCAATGTGTCTTACTAATGTGAAAAACCTTAAGGCGAATAGTATTAAGGTGAATAGTATTAATGGAGAAAGATTTATGTTGGGGGCTGGAGGATGAAGAAAGCCACCCAGGTTTTTAAAATGCAAAGTTATTGCACAGTTTCCTGCAAAATGACTCAGATCATTATTACTTTTAGTCATGCCAAGTTTGCAGCTAAGCCCACTAGTAATGGAGAAAAAAAAAGCTCACCATTTTTTCTGCAGTTATTAAGCCAATGAAACAGAAGCTTATTGAAAACAGGTTTGTGCGATATTTCTTTTATTATAACTGTTACAAAAATAAAGGCAATCGCGGGAAGAGCAAATGAAGATTCTGGGGGCAATCTCTGATCTACCTAACACCTAAATACCTACAGAGAGGGGGAGGAAAACACGCGAACAAAAGGAGATCCGAACTCGTAAAAATCGTAACACTGAGCATCTTCCTAAAGCTTTCCTCCGTCAAAACCTCGGGTTACGCTTTTTATCTGCTTCCCTTCAAACAACTGGAAGAGACCTCCACGTTGCGTTTCACGAAAAGGCCAGTCCTGAGCACGGATACAACAAGCCTGGCGAGTGCCTGGCCAATCTCATTCACCAGGACCCGCGGCGGCGAGAGCGAGCCCGGCTGTCTCGCGTGCCCCTGTCGCTCTTGTCACAGAGGTTTCCTCCACTCGAGCGCCTGCCTTCCCTACTACTACAGCAAGCCTACCCCCCGCCCAACCCCAGCCCCGACGCGAGGGGTTCCTATGCCCCACGAAAACACGAAGCCTCCAGCGCAGCCCGTGTCCCCGCGCAGGATAAATGCCATCCGTGCTCCCTTGACACTTCTGGAGTCGCCATAGGAAGTTAACAGGGAAGACCCCTCGGCCCACAGAGTGCCCACAAAAGGAGCGCTGATGTCCCCCAAGAACCCCAGCGCCAAAGGACACCACCCCATACGAAGGGATTCCGGGGGGTGGGGACGCTTTTATTTCCTCGTCGCCAATGCCCCCTTCATCTATCCAGGGCTGAGCTAAACTTCAAAGAAAAGGGCGTACTCGCTCCTCAGCTCCCCTCGCCCCCCTGCCGGGTCCCCCCGAACGAAGGGACGCGCCCGCCCCGCCGCGAGGAGTTGCCACCCGCCGGGGTGGAGGGAGGAAGGCGGCCCGGGAGAGGAGGGCCCGCCTGGGCTCAGCACCGCACACGCCACGCTCTCGCTCGGAAGCCCGCCCGGGCGCCACCCCACGCGCCTTCGGCCGCTGCCGCACGGTCCCTCCGGGGTCCAAAACGTGGAGGGCCGCGCAGCAGCCGCCGCGCCCCCCCGACCCCGGGAAGCCGGGCCGCCCGCCCGCCGGTCCTCACCCAGCAGCAGCAGCTTGACCTCGCGCGCCGCCTTCTCGCCATCCTCGCGGAGGTTCCGGTCGATCATCTTGCTCCGCTCCACCGCCGCCTTGTCCTCGGCGCTCAGCGTGCAGCCCATGGTGCCCGGAGCGAGAGCCCGCCGCTCCCTCCGCGCTCGTGCAGCCGCGAGCACAGGTGAACGCTTCCTCTCCCGGGCGGGCGTTCCGACACCTCCCGACGTGGGCCACGCCGCCCCCACCGCTTCCCCAGCGGAGTCCGGGGAAACGCCGTCCGCACGGGAGCCCGCAGCGCCGGGCGCCTGTTTCCCACCGCCGAGCCCAGCTCCGGGCGCCGCTCAGCGCCCCCCGCCCCG